GTTTTTTTTTTTTTTTTTTTTTTGTCTTTTTCCTTTTTATCGGTACCAGGGATTGAACTCACGACTGCCTGCTTGCAAGGCAGGCGCTTATGCCACCGAGCTAAATCTCCAGCCCCTCAAATTTTAAAATTAGTAATCTAGGTCTTTAATACCATTTCTTTACCTCAGTCATTTTATAAAGCCAGATAAAGAAGTCAGGAATGACCCCTACTATCTGTGCTGTGCTGTGTCACTGTGAGAATTATTCTCTATGTAGTTACTGGAGCTACTGTTCTACGTAAGCACACTGTTTTTCACTGGTTTGCATTCTACCCTGGGCAAAAGTACCAAGTATTTGTGGCCTCCAAGAAACAAGCACTGTGGTTTTGAGACATGGATTCTGTGAATGGAGTTTGATCACCTGCATTGTATCCCCCACCCTTGCACCAATGCCTGCTGCACCCCTCGGCATCTGGGTTCTTGCTGGGAATTCCCCCTAGGGAAATAGTCCTGGTTGCTCTGTGGCACTCCCTGAACTCAAGCACTCCACTGGCAACATAATAAACCATTCCAGAAACACTAGCTTGGAGACAGTGGCCTACTTTTGTTCTTCAATAGTTAATAACTCTGATGATACAGAGTATCAAGCCCAGTCAGGCAGGGAGGCTAGAGCCTGTAGAATAAGGGCAAGTGTGGCATGGTAGCCTCTGTTCACTTCTGAGCGACCCTGGCAGCCACAGCTTCATACTTTACCTGTGCGGCACAATGCCTGCCCCATCTGCACTTCCTCCTGGAAAATAACCTGAGTACTTTTCTACTCGCATTCACAGGACAGAGCCTCTTAGGAGAGAAGAGGAAAAGCCCACACTGATGTGTGTCGCAGGACAGATTAAGTGTTCAGAGACCTTCATAGGGGGAGCATGCTATTATTATGTGCCAGACACTGTTGCAGACCATTATGAATTATTAAAATATGACTCATGTCATTTGGATAGTTGATTAAAAAGTTTTGTTCATGATTGCTTTCAGGAAGACATACTTTAACATTAAGTAGTTTTATCATATATGAAAACATAATAAGATTGCTCATCATTTGTTATAGTTTTACCAGGTGTGACTAATTATCTCTATTAGTGGCTATTTTCAGAAATAATTATGCTCTTATACTCAGGCTGAAAAATTGAATCAGCTTTATATTGTTTGAAATACATTATGTAAAAACTTTATTCTGCGTATGTTCAAGACATTTATTACTTTGTTTGATTTAAAACATCGATCAAATTATCAGTCTGTTGTATATCAGTTGTTAGGGAATGCTGATACATTTCCGTTGTACTTTCTGATAGAAACCATTTCAGGAGTATAAAATTAATTATAGGTGCTTCTATGATGTATTACAGGTGTACATAAACTACCTGACACCTAATTTTTTTCTGTGATATTGATGTTACAGCTTTTCCAAAGGTAAAGTCAACAAAAGAGTAAAAAGCTCCTTTAAATCTCTCACACTTCTGCTGATTTCCCACTGTGTTGTGTTTCCAGTAGCCACAGGTTCGACCCTGTTCCAGGACAGCCCTGTCTGGGGGTGCTGGGCTCTGTTCAGGGGTTGGGGCTTAGCTGTGCAGGCATTACATATCCTCAGTATGGTGCATTTTTTACCTCTCAGTGATCGATTTTGCTTCTTTATGGAATATATGTAATTAGGGAAAATCTAAGCTAGTTCTCTCACACCAGGACCCGAAGGGTGGTTGCTGTTGGCTAGAGTAGTAGTTACTGAAATCCCACTTTGGCTCTGTCTCTTCAGCAGATCAATTTTACTTGTCCCAAGAGACTGTTCTCTCATTAGTTAATTCATCTGATTTTAATCATTTAATCTCTACTAATCCTGTTTCCCAGCTAGAAACAGTTGATTTATCTACTAAAGAAATAAACCCACTGAAATGGCTAAAATTCACTAGTGAGCAGCCAGAACATTTTCCCATGGGGAATCTAGTGAGACCCCAAGTACTGGATGCAGAGTTGGAACAGAGGACCTATCTGTTGGGTTCAATATCACTGTAGAATGGTAGGGAGCAGAAAAGCAGGTAGGTGGCTACAGGGCTTTTTATCAAAGGAGTCAGGAGCCTTAGAATCATCCTTGGAAGCTTTTGACTAAGGTAAGGGATTCCAGTGACTCATCCATTTTATTCAGGTCTTGGGGAAAAAACTAAAGTTGGCTCAAGTAAATACTGAGGAAATTAAGATTTATTGGAGAAGATTCCAAATTATACCTAGGTTTTTTCCCCAAACATTAATGTTTTTTGTTTTGGTTTTCTTGCTTCTCAGGATCCATATGCTAGACAAGTCCCCTACTACTAAGCTACATCCTTAGCCTTTCCAAACATTGTATTTCAAAAAGTGGCAAAGATGAAGAGGAGCAAAAGGGACCATAGCATGAATATCTACTACTTTGAGATTCCTCCATGGGTGTTTCATGACCCTCCTACATGTGTCTGTCCATCCTCCATCTCTTATTCTAGGTTTCAAAGTGGCAGACATGAATGTACTTTTTTCAGCTTTTTACTTTCAAGTTCTTTTTTATTCTGAAGATTTTTAAACCTTTGAAGCCTGTGTGCATGTCACTGAGACCCACCAAGTGCCCACATTTCGCCAATCTTGTTGTATCTCTTTCCTTCAATCTGTGTACTTTCCTTGGGTGGTTTAAATCAGTCAACATAGCATTTTGTTTACAAGTCTTTATCTCCAGCATATAAAGATTTAACATAATGCCTTTTAACAGAATTCTTTAGATATTATTATCTGATTAGATATTAGCTTATCTAATACATAATTCATGTTCTTTTACATTTATTTTGTTTGACTCAGGATCCAAATAAGGTTCGCATATTAGAGTTAGTGGTATGGGTGTGTTGAGAAAATTGGAGCATCTTCCTGGACTATTCATGCTGGATTTGCTGGTTATATCCAAATGGTGGTGTTTGACCTGTTCTTCTCTCCCGTTTGGTACTGTAGCCTGCTGGTTAGGTCTAGATGGGTGGTGCTGTTCCGGACCAGGTTTTTGCTATCAGTGGTGCTAATGCTAATGAAATCTGCTCAGGCAGCACATGGCTTGTGATCAGCTTGAGACTGGTGACACCAAGGCTGCTTGCTGGTTATGCACTGGAGATTGGCACCTCCTGCGTAAGGTATTCCCTTGCACACTTTTCATAAATGGAGTCATTTCCTAGATCTGTTCATTAACCAGGCTTTCTCAGCTTAACTATGCTTCTGCACTTCTTGGAGGAACTTTCACTCATCAGCTACTTATAACTCTGAAATACAGGGTTTTGTTTTTGTTTTGAGCTGCATTGTCAGTCTAAATGCTTGATTTAATCTTTTGACAGACTACTTTTCAGAATAACAAGTTTTTACGTCAATAGTTTCCGAAAGTTTTGCCTTGGTAGTCTCCAAGAGTTTATTTTAAATTATTTCATCTTTGTGATAAATATAACGAAATTTACTGTTTAAACCCTTCTTTTGGTTGTTGTGTATGTGTGTGTGTTGGTATTGGGTATTCAATCCAAAGCCTTGGCACAGAGCTACATCTACAGCCCCTTTTTATTTCTTATCTTGAGGCACTAAGACATTAAGTTGCACACATTGGACTTGAACTTGTGATCCTCCTGTCTAAGCTACCACCATCCTAATCACTGTGCAGTTCAGTAGCGTTGAATATAATCACACTGTTGTTCAACAAACCTGCCAATTCTTTTCACTGTACAAAACTGAAATTCTTGGGGCCGGGGATTTAGCTCAGTGGCGTAAGTGCCTGCCTTGCAAGCAGGCAGTCATGAGTTCGATCCCCGGTACTGATAAAAAGGAAAAAGACAAAAAAAAAAAAAAAAAAAACAAAAACCACTGAAATTCTGTCCGTTAAGCATTTTTCTATTTTTCCCTTCCCAATCCCCTGCCCCTTCCTGTCTCCATAAACTTCCTATTCTGGGCACTCCATGGAGGTCTAGTCATGTGGCGTTTTCTTTTTTGTCTTTGGCTTATTTCGCAGAGCATGTTACAATATTTGACAAGGTTTGTTTCTTTTTTAAGGATGCATGCAAAAGTTTTTATTTTTTTATTCATTTTAACTGATCCCAAACTCGTGGATTTTTATGAATTAGCTGTGTTTTAATCCCTTGCAGTTATCATTAGTATTGCTGTTGTTTTGCTGCATAAATTTTCCCATCGGTAGTTAGGATTCCCTTCAAGATAGCCCTGGGTCCATTTGACAGGACACAGTCTTCTTGGAGACCTTTCTTCTTTTCAGGTTCAGTGAATGTTCCAGGCTCATTCTGAACATTTCCTTTGACCAGGAAATTGTTCCTTTTTATATAATAAATATCATAGTCTGAATAGCAGTCCAAGTTTACTTTTCAACACTTTTCTGTAGTACTTTAATATATTTTGTTGTTGGGTTTTTTTTTTTTTTTTTTTTTTTTTTTTTGGTGGTACCAGGGATTGAACTCACAACCTTGTACTTGCCAGGCAGGCATTTATACCGCTGAGCCAAATCCCTGGGAGTACCTTAATTTTTAAAATTGTAAGTAGGTCATTGTAAAGGAGTAGTGACAATCCTGTATTTGAGATGGAGATGTGATTTTTTTTTCTGAAGCATAGAGGGGCAGACCAGGCACAGACTATCCTCGAGATTCCTTGTGCGTCCCAAGAACATGCCAGTGCCAGGTGCCACTCCCATGAGCCTCTACAGAGAGGGCTGGGCTCCCAGGGTCATAGAGTTTCCCTGGGGGTTCTGTGTGCAACCAAAGCAGAAAATGTCCATTTAGTAAGGAGATTATTACCCAAAATATTTTGAAATTTAAAAAATGATGTTTGAGTTCAAATTTTCTTTAGTCCAGAATATGTTAGACCACAGCCTTCTCTGGATAAGCTTTCTTCTTCCAGCTCGCTGTAAGTCCTTAGAGATATGGTGCTCTTTTAAGTCACCCAGTACTGTACACAGGTGGCACATCTCCTGTTTTGTCTCACAGATATGAACGGGTACTAGACCCCAGCCTCCCGAGTGCACCCTGTGGCCAGCCTGCCACCAGCCTGAAACAACTCAGCCAGTCTCTCTGCGAAGAGGTAGGTGGCTCAGCTCTCTGGCTTCTCAGACCAAAGTGTGGACCAGGGATCAAAGAGCAGAAATTTTTATTTTTTTAAAGAATAAATTTCAAGGTTTTATGTTATCCAGTTGAGGAAATAATATATTCTCAAGAATGATTGACATACTACTCAGTGGTACAGTGCCAGTACATGCGAGATCATGAGTTCCATTTCCAGTCCAAAAAATAAAGATTAATATATTTGAAGAAGTGATAAGAAAAGTAATAAGTAAGGCATAGGGATTGGTTTAATTTTCTGATCTTAGGCCTTTTGTGTAATGTTTTGGGTGGGAACCCTGACATACTGTTAATTTAGGTCCCAGCAGTGTGATTGAATGTCCCTACCAAGCATTTTCTGGGAACTTGGAAATGTGGTTTTCTGTCTACTCTGAACAGTACTGCAAAATGCTGTAAGGTCATGCATATTATTTCAGAAAACATATATCACTCCATCACCTACCCACATACCAGCCCAGAGCCATTTGAAGTAAAGAAATTCATACCCTGGTACTCAGCTTCTTTAAAATTCATTAACTCAGTCCTTGATGCATTTTGATGTGACAGTTTTGTCCTGATACTTATTCTTTGCTTGACTCTTGATGCACAAGTTAGGACTTGTGGATGTCAATTGCCTCGGGACTTGCTCCCCATTCCAGCCACAGCAATTTACTTGGTACTTGTCATTTTTGTACTCATCATGCCTGCCAGAACCAATGAGCAGTAAGTATCAAGGTACTATTGTAATTAAGATGTGATCCCCTCTTCCTGAAGTAATACAGCAGGGTGCTTGCAATGAAAGAACACCAAAGAATGTGGGTCCTCAGGAAAAGGGGTCAGGACATCTGGGGAAGCAGCAAGGCAGGCATTAGAGTGTAAGGGGCCCTTGAACACAGATATTTGGCAGGGCAAGGCTTGGGTAATACTGGGGCAACAGGGATGGGCAGTTAAGAGCCAGAGAGCGGGGGCTGGGGATTTAGCTCAGCGGCTTAAGCGCCTGCCTTGCAAGCAGGCAGTTGTGAGTTCAATCCCTGGTACCGATAAAAACGAAAAAGACCAAAAAAAAAAAGAGCCAGAGAGCAGGCTGGGGAGCATCAGGTATACCCGGGCAACAGAGCCGCACTTGAGGCAGCAGGATAGGCTCTAGCTCTGGTAGGAAAGAGCCCTAAGCAGTCTTGGGACCTGCTGGGCATTATGCTGGCCCTGGGCTGGGTATACTGTTTAGTCTAGTAGGTTTTGGAAAGCTGCTGGACATGAATTCTGCAATCCTTAGGAAATGCCTCTGTGTTCAGAAGGAGCCAGGCCTGCCATGGATTGGGCCAGGGGAAAGGACACTGTAACTCAGGAGCTGGTGCAGGAGGAGAGTTTGTGCTGAATAGGGAAGGAGACAGTGAGGCAGATTCCCAAGGAAGGCACAGGAAGCTGCCAGCAGCCCTCACTCAGGGTTTCCAGCCTACTACCTGCTGTCTCTGGGAAAAGACGTGCAGGGGGGAGGGAATAAGCCATTGAAGACACGGATGGCATTCCCTGCCTCCCATGGTCCCAGCCCTTATCCAGACTGACTTGTACCAGTTCTCCCGAGCGTTTTCATGTTGTTGCTTTGTGTGTGACTGAGTAGCCCATTGTTGTGTTTTGTTAAGGATGGGGCCATTTTCAAAGCTTTAAAGTAGACAGAACCTGTGTTTTTTTAGATCTGTTGCATGTTTGTGAACTAATATAGATCTTAAGAAGGAGCCAGCTTCAGGTTGCATTGTCCATTTTCTTTAGCACCATTTTGCAACAGCATCCGTTGTATTCTTGTTCATTCTGAGCACAGCCGTGTGAAGAAGGGTGTAAGGATTGGTGACTGCCGGTTGCTATGTGGTCCTCTTTTTCTTCCCTTAGGATATTTTTAATTTAGAAAGCATGTTCCAAATTCCAAACAGCCAGTCTACTCACAATTTCTCAAATAATCTCCCTACTTTTTGTCAGGAGGAGGCTGCCCAGGGAGTAACTCATGAACCAAATGATGCACCACCTCCCCCAATAACCAGTACTGAAGGCAAAATCTCTGCTTTGGAATGGAAGTGAACATGGTTTCTTACCCATCAGGCTGAAGTCAGGTCAGGTTGAAGAAAACAAAAACACAGGCACAAAATACAGTTACCAAAATGAGAGGGCCGGGCCAGCCATGGGCACTTTGAGACCAAATGGTTTTGTGAGTTCTAAAACTGCCATCTCAGGCATGTGCCTGTGCTGCACACATGTGTGTTGCCCTGCCCCATATCATCCTTGTATGATGAGCAAAATGAAGTATCTTTGAGTTGTTTCTGTGTATTAAAAAGATACAGATTTTTAGTAAAGACTCGGGTTAAATATCTTTTTTTAGATAAACTCTTAATAGTAAGCAGTTTTCAGAATTTAAGAAATTTCTATCATGAATTTGTTGGTTCAGAGTCTTGTGAAGCTCAGAAATATTTACTTTGATCTCTCAAGTAAATGGCTAATTAAACAGCCACATGTAGGTGGTGTTTACCTGTGGGACCCTGGTGCTGTCAGCCCTTCTCTTGAGCAAACACATCATCAAAGCTGCATCCCCTAGAGACCAGTGAGAGCCAGCAGTGTCCATATAACCTGTCATGTAATTACATAATTGAGCTGCATGCTTTTAATTCAGAAAAATTTTTAATCACTTTATGTGAAAAAATTGCTTCATTAGAATACAAAGTGGCTTCATATTTCCTTTCTCCCAATAGCTATTTCCGTCTGGCAGAACTTGGACTCAGCAAACAGCCTGCTAATGTCACTCAGAGTAGACCAAGGCCTGTCCCCTGCCATAAGCACACTGGTTTTGTTCACCAGGAAGCCTGGCCCCTAGTGATCAGCCATCTTGTTAGTTTTTGAACACTCATTTGCTAGCTCATAGCAACATTTTCTCCTTTGTTTTAAAGACTTCATGGAGAAGATGCCTTCTTTTCCTCCATTTAGCACAGATACACGCTGCACTCTAGTGTGCACAGCCTTCCTTCCCGCTTGTGGCACAGTTTCCTTCTCTGCCGCGGCTGTGCCCCTGCGTTGCTTACCGTGGGTTATGCATTCTCGATTCAGCTAACTGCCTGTCAGACATTTATTCTCTTTTTTTCTTCCACTAAGATAGTTTTAGAAAACATCTGTGCAATTCACGTTTCCAAATATCCGTAGTATTTCCTCAGAATGAGTTCCCAGGTGTAAAATTATTAGGTCAAAAGGTATCTACACCTTTGTGGATTTTGTTATGCACCACTGAATCTCATCTTGCAAGGGTCATCAGAGTTAGCAATAATGGATGAAAATGGCATTTCCCTGAGTTCTTTATAAGCTAAATACTACTGACTTTTTAAAAGCCAATTTGAGAGGTGAAAATAACATCCACTCTTTTTTGTTCATTTGGCCTTTTTATTATAATTCAGGTCAAACTTGTTTCCTACCTATTTGTAAGCTATTTGTATTTCTTCTTTCATGATTCACTAGTTCTATTAGATAAGTAATGAGTTTTTTTATTGATTTATAAGAACTTCAAATTTATACATTTTGTTGCAGCTTTTTTTAACAGCTTGATCTTTGTCTTTTTTTAATGGTGTTTTAGGCATACTATCTTTTCCATTAATAGCTTCATCTGTCTATTTGTGCATTTAAATATAATTAATAAGTGTCTGGATATAAATTGAGCCTAAATGTCTCTTGTGGCTACACATGTAGCAGGTTCCATATCTAAACTGAACTGTGAGGGAAATTTTGGTGGAATTGATGCCATGATTCTAGGAATACAACTGAGTCTGATCACAAAGTGGTTGACCTGCCATCAGGTGTGAAATATGGCAGTGTCAGCCTCAGGGCCCTTCTGCAGGCCACGTGGGCCCTGTCTCCTGGTCTCAGAGTGGCAGAACACTGAGGGGCTCTTTGTCGGTCTCGATGAGGCCTCACACTGCTGAGACTAGTGGGACGTTTTCATTTGCCTTCCTGGGCTCCAGATGACAGATAAGTTCAGACCAGTCCAGTTCCAGGCACTGTCCACAGCTGGCATCTGGAGATATTTTTCAGAGACTGAGCTCAGTTTATAACCTGTGATGTACAAAGGAGTTTATTAACTCTTCTCTGCTTTTTGCAGGTAGAGTTAGTCCCTACACTCTTGGACAGGTCTCCAACTGGGGACTTCCTTAGAAATACCCAGTTTGGAACATATGCAAGCAGCGCATCCTGAGAATGCGTTGCTGGTGTTTTTCCTGACTCTGCAGAAGTGGTTTTTGACTAAAACCATATTTGACTGATCCTTCTCTGAGGCAGACTTGTTTCTATCTCACTTGTCCATTGTCTGCTTCTTGCTGGGGACATACATTGTGGGTTGATTTATAGAGTGTGCCGGGGCAGATCCTTTTCTCTCGGCTCTGTGGTCCGGGAGAGTTGAGCCAGCCATTCTCATATTGCAGTTTGACTGTCCGTCACATTTTTATACTTACAGAGTACTCATCTGTGAAAAATTGTCTGTAGAACTATTTTAAGAAATGAGTTATTTTATAAATATTTCTATCAAAAAAGAAAAAGAAATCTTGATGAATACTGAGTAGTGAAGATAAATGGGATGAAATGGACAAAATAAATGAAACTGTCAGAGTGGTCCAATTACCAGGTCACTCTCCTCCTGGTGGAAAGGAGTGCTCAGCACAGCACAGGCAGCCATGGTGGGAGGATGTTTGCAGGATTATACAACAGAGCAAGATTAATAGTGTGTCACTGTGGAGTGTGTCAATCTAAAACAAAAATCGGAGAGCAGCTGTCCCAAGCCAAGAGTTTATTTGAGATTAGCAGTGACTTACAGTCCTGGATGCATGTGCATGGTGGACCCTAAGGGACTCTGGGGGCTGGGAGCAAACGAGAAGCTTTTAGAGCAGAGGAAAATTAACAAAAGACGGGGCTGAGGCCAGCCATCACGAAACAGAGACACTGGTTACAAGATCTTGTTGTAGTCTTGCCCTTGGCTCGGGAACTGCCGTTAACCAGTGCGCTTATGCAGGCAGCTCCCATGGTGCTGTGAGGGGCTTATGCCGAGAAGTACAGCTTGGTGGAGTTTGTTGTCCAGACACTGTTGTAGGCACTTCTGCAGGAGGGCGCTTCTTTCATGGCCTCCCGGCTTCCACCCTGCATGAGTGACTCCACTTTGATCCGGGGGGCTGGAGACGTGATCTGAGTCGCTGGTCATCCAGAACAGTCAGTATTTAGAGGAGGAAAGATATTTATTTTAAATTGTATACAAACATATGAATCTTTACATTCTCTGCAAATTCAGTGGTTGAAAGTACTAAAAACTTTGGTCTTTTAACAATTTTATACTTTAAAAAGTTAAAACAGTGATGAAGATGTTATGTCAAGAAATTACTTGTTAAATTGTGTAAGGTGCAGTGGCTTACAGATACATATTTAAGAGTTTCTTAGATGTATGAGTTAGGGTTAAACTCAGAAAATGAAAATAACAGTTTTCACTGTGGGATTTTTGTTCATATTATAAAGTGGTTTCCATGTACCCAGCATTACTGGGCACAGACAGACTGGATCAGGATAGAGTGGACACCACTCCCCCAGGACAGTGCAGTGCAACACTGGCTATTGAAGTTGACATTTCAAGGGGCAGAGCAAGATTGCTCACTCTTCCTGGGCAGCACTGGGGAGTGGCACAGTGCAAATCTGTGTGCAGCAGCAGGGAAGGTGGAATAAGAGCCATGATAGGGGCCCCTCAGCCTGGGCTCCAGGAGGCAGCTTCTGTGTGCGAGCCCAGCATGCAGGAATGGTGAAACCTAGCAGGTCATCTCCACAGAGTCACAACCACTGGGCTGCAAGAAGCCCAATGAAAGACTAACTTGGTGCCAGTCCTTTGGCCAAGGGTTAAAAACTCTTAACCTCCACCACCATCACTAAGCCAGCTGCTCCAGCTACTAGTGCGGGCCACAGGCTGTCAGCCCCAGGAAAAGCAGAGAGCAGGTGTCTTGCAGGAAGGAGGTCAGGGCTGAGGGAGCTGCAAAGCCAGAGGCACGAAGCCAGATCTTCCTGCTCTGTCTCGGTGCCCCTTTCTCAGAGCCTGTTCTCTCTCCCTCATGTGGGTCACAGGCAAGGCGATGCTTCTTCCCGTCACCGACTCATTCAAGCAGTTGTATATTGCAGATTGCCTCTGGACCCTGCTGTGCCATCTGCATTTCGCACAGGATGAGCTGGTCACTGCTCCACATGTGCCACCATTGTCAGCAGTGGTGTCCTCTCTAACTCCCCTTCTGAACAGGAATCAAGAGGAAGACACACACTCTGACAGTGGGACAGTGTGGTTGGTGGCTGTCTACTAACCATCAAACACTTGTTTTTTACCTGTTCCTTTTTTTTTTTTTTTTTTTGCCTGTTTCTTTGTCTTGAGAGAAAAGCAGTGACCTGGAAGTGGAAAGACCTGGGTACTCCCCTGATCTGAGAGGCGACACTGTTTCCTCACTTCTTAAGTTGGCTCTAGTGAATCTGTGTCCCCATATAGGTTAGGACAGTCCAGGCTGGTGTGCTGTGGAAAGGATAGACCATGAGGGAGGTAGGGCTCCCCAGCTCGCCTTGGATTTCAGAGTGAAGAACAGGCTGCCTTGGTCCTTTCCTGAAGAGCAGGGTTCGCAAACACGGCAGCTATGATTTTGCTCCCTCCCCTTACTATCTCCCCCAGCCTCCAGTTTTTCTGTAGTCTTCCCTTGGGGGAAGCTCAGAGGTCATTTCTAGGACGGAGGGTAATGCAAGACCATGTCTTCCAGGCTTCTCTCTCAGTCCCAGCCAACTGTATGTGCACACCTGGAAAACAGGATTCATGTTCCTTCAGAAAGGAGATGGAGGGCAGACTTCTGTATGTACTGGGGAAGGGTGAACCAGCCCAGGTGAACAGAGCCGATCACTACACATGCGGATGCTTCTCTAAGTTCAGTCCTCCAAAAAAATACGTTTCTATGAGTGTTAAGAGTCATAAAGAATTAAATTATGCTGTACAATAGCCAGATGACATTTCATCTTGAGAACATTTTAATTTCAGTTAATACTAGGAAGCAACCAAATCTTCAGTAAAGTCTACCCTACAATTATATTTGAAGTCTGTATTTGAGACCAGGAGAATGTGCTTATGGTTTGTTTTGGTTTCTTACTATTTCCTTTGAATCATTGTAGGCAGCAGCAGTGGCACTTAGCAGAGATCTCACAGCAGAGTGTGAAGCTGGCACGGTCGCATGCAGTGATGGGTCGTGGTGGGGCGTGCCATCTGTTCTGCAGGAGGGCACAGGGCTGGAGGGAACAAGACCTGCGTTCCGGCTCAGCAGCCTTTGCACAAGGGACCAAGGTAATCTGCGCTTAGTGTGTCCACAGTGAGGAGGCCTCCAAAGCCAGTGCGATGGCCTGTCTCACAGTAGCTGCAGGGCACCACCAGTTGTACCACGCATACTGTTAGCTGTCTCATACCACTTTCCAATAAATATGCAGTGTGTGCTGGTTTAGTCTAACAGGAGTGAGAAACCTTATAATAGATCTGTACTTCTGTTCAGTTTCTAATGATATAGATGTTTAAGTTATGAAAGTTAAAGGTAATCACTTGACAGGAAATCTTTTTTTTTTTTTTTTTTTTTGTCTTTTTCTTTTTTATCGGTACCGGGGATCGAACTCACAACTGCCTGCTTGCAAGGCAGGCGCTTATGCCGCTGAGCTAAATCCCCAGCCCCCTACAGGAAATCATTTTGATCCCACAATTTGGAGATAATCCCCTTAAAATGATTCCATAATGTACTGTGAGGTTTTTTAAATTACTTAATAGAATTTACCCATAACTTCATAAGTGCATTTTGATTTTAATAGAACCTTTTCAAAGTCTAAATAATGAATTTATGCCCCCAAATTTCTGTCCAACTTTAGTACCCAGAAATTGTAAGTATTTTAGCCATACCGCCACACATGCCAGTCTTGTGTGTGTTTCTCCCAGGTTCAGTCAGCGGCTGCCCTGTGACTCCTAGGACAGCTGTGAGTTCGCACAGAAAGTCCTAAGAAGTTAATTGGTTCCCATGCCCAGTGTTTGAGGCTTATTTGTCCCATCCGAATTTTTAGTAAGCAAGATCTGTTTCACAACTTTGAAATACATTTTTGTTATCATGTGTTTGGTTTTCAGATGAAGATGAGAGCGAACAAGAAAGCTTGAACACAAAGGTACCAGTCACAGGTAAAGTGACAGTCGCCTTCCTAGCTCCAAACCTAGGTGTGGTCTTGTATAATCAGGGCCTTCCAGGTGAAAAGCTTGTGGCCCTCAGAGAGCTAGCATGTTCCACTGCTGCATGCTGAAGCAGAGAGCAGCCAGAAGAACATAGCGCCCAAGCCTGCATCCCATAAACGAGGCGGCAGGGGACCTTGTCCGGGGAGCTCCCCCTGGAACTCCAGTGTGTCCACACTTGTAGCCTCCTCTGTCACACAGGTGCTAGGCACCCCTTGGCTGACTCTCCGCACACCCCGACTCTCTGCACACCCAGTCATTAACCCACAGGCTGGAGATGCTTCTGACTTCATTCCTTTCTTTGCTGTAGTAGTTGAAGGTATATCATCAAAACACAAGTAGGAAAAGATGCCAGACAGGAAGCCTGCCTGGGCCTTCTGTAGAAAGCTGGTCTGGTAATTTAAAACTTTCACCAGTTAGGTTGTAGCAAGACCTGTTAAGATTTCTGAACATGTGTTAGATGTGTTTAGATGGAATCTAAATGATATCATTATGATTTTTAGGTTTAGAGTAGCAGCAGCAGCAATTACTATTCCAAACAGAGCCCTGTTTGTTGTACATCTAAATTTACTAGTACCTTGTTTTTTAAAGTGGTATATGGCTTCATTATAAATGCAAAGGTCTGACTTTAAATATTTATACAAGTGACTCCACTCACACTGAGAAGCCAAGGCATGCATCTGCATATGTGCTCTGTTGTTCTTGTTCTCAGCAGAGAGGAGCAGCTTAGTTTGTGCAGTACGCAGCATGGTGATTAATTCTTTCAACTCACGTTTCTCTAATGAACTCCAGTTTTGAAAAAAGTTTACCGTGGGGCTGTGATTATGTATTTTATGTAGTAGATGATATGTCACTACAAAATTCAGAGATTTTCTTTTCTTTTAAACATTTTCCTGCAGCAGTGTTTATTGTGTTTCTTTTTTTTTCATTTTGAGAAAACTCTCATAGGGATCTGTCTTGCATATTTTGATTAATAGGAGAAATGTAGACAGCCTCCAACTGCGGATAACCAGGAAGTCACTCACATACCTTCTTTGAATGCAGAAGAATTGAATGGCCTCTGCATTTATTCCAGTTAAAATTATAAATTATTATTAAAAAGAAACTGAGAAGGGGCTGGGGATTTAGCTCAGCGGCATAAGTGCCTGCCTTGCAAGCAGGCAGTTGTGAGTTCGATCCCCGGTACCAATAAAAACGAAAAAGACAAAAAAAAAAAAAAAGAAACTGAGAAGTGACCCAGTGCCCATTCTTACTTCTCTGGTCTCTCTGGCTGTGAATAGATGACACTCCAAGATTGGTGCAAGTGTCGTTTGCTTTCTTCTTTCCTTACCAAAGAAGTGTGCTGTGCCTAGGGGTAGTAATTGGGGCTACCCATCAATTAAGATTGTGCGTGTGTGTGACAGGGTTTTCACTATGCAGTTTTGAGACAGGGTTTTACTATGCAGTTTAAGCTGGCCTTGAACTCATTTCATAGCCCAGGCTGGCCTCAAACAGTGATCCTCCTGCTTCAGCTTCCCTCCTGAGTATTACCATTAAGACTTTACAAGGACTCATTATCCCAACAACCTGTCATAGACCCATCAGTAGTTAGCAGTTTAAATTTGTCCTGTTGCATGGCAAAGTAAGAAACAGTAAATTTGTCGGAGCCTTGCTGCTCTGTCCTTGTGGCCAAGTTTGTCCTTCTGTGCCCCTCCTTGCTCCCACCAAGTTCCTGTTTGAGGGCCCCCTGCATTTCCGCTCAGCTTGCCAGCACACTATTGCTGTGTCAGTCCCTGACACAGTTGCTTCAGTCTCTCAGTTCTTGACCATCAGTCCCTTACTAACATTTTGTGACTGGCATAGTTATTTGGAGGTGGGCTTTCAGTAAAGGAAGGCAGTTGTAAGGGTCAATTTAAGATAGACTTTGCTCACCCACTCCCACTAGTTCTCTTGGCATCCTGTTTGCATAGCTGCATGCTGCCTTCATGGGCTGTGTGCCTTCTAGAATATTTCAAAGAAAAGGAGTATTGCAGAAGCTGTCCCCTGTGGTTGAGGAGATGTAGCAAGTGATCCCAGGCTTGGCATCTGCCAGCAATCTTTCCTCTCCTCTCTCTCCCTTAAGCCCATGGGGCTCTGTACAGGGAAGGCAACTGTTCCACCTGACAGGGTCATCTTTCAGTTCAAGGAGACCATTGTGCAGGTGCTGAGCAGACACTGGACCTTGGTGCATCCCATCCATGATGTATGACACACTCCCGTGCATCTTAGAGGCATGTTAGGTCTCCTGTGCTGGATTCCAAATCCTTACTGTCTCCACCCCAGGGACATCTAGGAGAAAGGACTCTTACAAAGCCAACTCAAAGAAGAGAGGCAGGGGCTGGGGATGCACTCCCAGGACAAGACTGCTTTCTAATGAGACTTTGGGGAAGCTGGTGTGAGGTAGACACTGAAAGCTGCTTATCAGAGCTGCTCCCCAAGCAAGACAGAGGTTGCAGCTGTTGTTTCCAGCCATGGGAGGAGCTCTTATATGGGTCCTCCTAGGAGCCACCATTTGCTCTGTAGCCATTCCCCAAGGGTAGTCCGCGAGGCTGGGCTGGGTGTCCCTGAAGTCACCCCTTCTCAGAGGTAAGGATTGTGGGGCTATTCAGCCTGAGCAGAGGGCCCTGTAGCTGCTCTTAAATATGTGAGAGGCTGCCACATGCTTGGCAGGGTGTTTGTGGCCCATGATCAGAAACAGAAGCGCTGTGGCCTTCTTGCTTGCCAGCGTCAGGCACAGTGTCTGTAGGCATGCGCGTCTATGCTGGGTGTGGGAACTCCCTGAAGAGGGCTGAGGAGCACTCCTGTTTCAGGTGCTGGACCCGAAGGAAGGACCTCTCACATTCTTTCTGTTGCCCAGACCGTGATCATATACTGTGCTAAAGGAATCTCACATGCCAACATTCTTGCATCTGTGTTTACCCTTATGTGCTTATCACCCCAAAACTCAGGTCTTCTTGGGAAAGGGACTCACTCCTAAAGTGCCTGCTCCTAAGGCATTTGTCAGTTCACTGGGCTAATTCCCAGAGGACTGGCTTTTGTGCACATCTGTATCCATAGCCAGCATGCACACTGCTGCACCAGTGCCTCAGGGCCAGCTTCGTGACCACCATTTTGTCTGGCTGCTTTTACTAAGATGTCCAGGTAGAAATCAAGATCAGTGCTGATGGCTATGAACCTGTCTTGTATGTAATAATTGACATAGCATTTCCCAGACATAGCATTTCTTGGACTGTATCCTGGGGTACCTGGCTCAGAAAAGACCTGGTTGCTACCCTCAGGAAGCCCCTGACAATTCTGATCTTCACACTGGTCCCAGAAGCTAAATAGCAGTAACTCATCCTATAGCCTCACACAGAGCCACCAAGAGGCCGTGCCTACCTTAGGCTGTGCCACCTATACAGTTGATTTGGACTCGAGCTCCAGCTTTTGGATTGAAACTCCAGGCTCTTCTTCTTCTGCAAGCTGCCTCTTTCCTCGTACCAGCCAGGGCACCTGCAGCAAGATGTTTGGCCCAGCCAAACAAAAGTGTCTGTCCTCACAAAAGAGGAGCTCTGTGGGGATGCTCTGGAGAATGAGGAGGAGCAGAGCTTACCCTTCCCTCACCTTTTGGGGGAGCTTCCTAAGGCGGATTCTGCTAGTGCAGCACCTCCAGCAGTGGGGCAGACACACTGCCTTTGTGACCAGTGCAGGCCAGATACACTCAGGCAGGAATGAGACCACAGGAGAATGCTGCGGGTGCCCACATCAGCTGTTTAATTTGTAGTCACATTAAATTTACCTTTCAGCTCTGTATTTTAGCCCATGACAAAGCTTCTGCCAAATGTCATCAAATCCAGCACCCGACACAGAGTCTGGCACACAGTGGGCATTTATTTTGTAAAACAATAACACTGGAGATAGTGAGGAGTTTCCCTAGTAATGGGTTGATGCCAGCATGTCTGTCTCTTTCTGTTGCCTCACTAGCACTCTCCCAACCCACATGCCCATCCTGGTAGAACTCTTCTCCTGAGCTCCATGTGAAAAGGGCCCTCAGCTTTTATCTAAGAGGATTAAGCCTCTGAAAATGCCCATTCAGCTCTTATTCCTTGACATCAATTCTCCTGGTCAAGCTGTGTTGAAAGTGCTTGCGCACTGGGCATGCATTCCTTGCAGACAACACGGCAGGTGAAGGGCTGCAGTCATGTGGAAACAGCTGCAGGGTCCATCCAAGGGTTGGGCCTGTGTTTGCAGGGTGCTGCTTGGTGTTGTGAGTACTACCTCCCCAGACCTCAGACCACCACTAGAGTTTTACACTGAGCTGGAATAGGGTCGTCACTGGTGAATGCATTTATCCTGAGAGAGAAGACCATAGTGACAACAGAAGTAGAGGCAGGATATCATGGCAATACCAAGACTCTGCTGAAAATGTGCTTCACCTGCCTCAATCCCAGAGCACTTACTGATGACTCGGGGGAGACATGGGGAACCCCACACTTGTGTAAAACCAGGGAGACGGTGTGTGCTGCGGGGTTGCCCATCACAGGGCAAGGGCAACCTGGTGTTCTGCATGATAGGATTATTTCCAAAAGATGAGAAGTATAAAACAAAAAGCGGCCTTTATTCTGAGAACACGGAGAGAGATGACCGGCACCCCCTACCGCTGGTGTCCCACAATCTCTCCGTGTCATGTGTTCTCCGGACACGTGTCATGGGGGTATGTAAGTAGCCTCGGTCTGGGGTAGAACCTAAGGAGGGCTTTAGGGATGCACAGGTAGCCCATTGGTCCTAGGTTTGGCGCCATAGGTAAATTTCCAGAGGCAGGAAGATGGCGTCACAGGTAAATTCCTAGGGGCGGGGGAGATAGGGGCTTCCTGCTTCTGGTTGAGGCTTTCCTGGCTACAATGTCCTGTCTGGGCCAAAACCCTTTCATTGCACCCACTGCTAGTCATAGTGCA